GGGGTTTAAGTGGAGAGAAAATGTTTTGAGAATGAAGTACAAATGCGCTTTACACAATTGATGTGTGTATGGATTGCGATAACAGTTGTATGAGCCCCTAATAAAATGTTTAAAAAAAAAACATTTTAAAGACTTTTGCTACATATAGTTGAATTTCTTTCCTGAAAGCTAGTTAGCAACTTACTATAATAGAAATGTCTCATCTTTACAGCAATGAATATTATAAAAACAAACTTTGTTGTTTTAATTTGCATTCCTTTAATTACTAGTGAGGCTGAGCATTTTCTAACATGTATATTAGCTATTTCAGAATGTGTGTTAACCGCATGTGGCTTGGAAAAAGATGAAAATGAAGGCACTAATCAGCAGCCTAAGGAAAGTAGTTTTTCTCAAATTACATATGTAGGTAGAGAGGGAGGAGAGAAATAACTTTTTTAACAGGCAAAACTAATTCTTTATAAAATAAACTTAACTAAATACACAAGAAAGGTGACCAAACTTGTAGAGTATGAAGCAAACCCTACTTTTTATATCAAGTCAGGTATTAAATCCCACCAGTTTTCTTTTAACCCCATTTCCTCTTCAAGTACATCAGTCACAGTCATGACTTCATGATTAGACTATTACAAACTTTTAACTAGCTCTTTGATGGTAGTTTCTCCACATTATAAAATACTTCACATAACATTTTAAAAATAGTCTTGCTTAAGCCTCACTTTCATTATCACTCGCCATCCTTAGTTTTCAACAAATCCAGTCTCACTCCAGGCTTTCAAGACTTTCCATATCAGACTAACTATCCTATTTTCTATTCTCATTACTCCTTAACAAAATTTTTGCTCTAGTCAGACAAATGTCCTCAGCTGTTTTCCACATCGACTGCATGACCTTTGTTTTCTCCCAAAAGCCCCTGTCCCAGTTACACCATCTCCATAGCTAACATAGTCTAACTCCATAGCTTTAGTCTTCACTTACTGAAGCCTCATCTCTTGTGATTCATAAGACATAGCTAAGCACTTCGAGATAAAGCACACGTGTTACTTATTATGCAGCTTTCCTCACTCTTCTCCGTTCTTCTACTCTAAATACAACTAAACACCCTAGAAATAAGTGAACAGGCAATTACAAAGGGACCCTGAAATCTGCTAAGAAGTCAGTGAAGGGGCTGGGCCTCCAGTTTTGAGGAGGACACCGTGGTGTGATTCCCTTTTTACCTCCCAGATGTCCTCAACTGGGCATCAATGATCTGGAAGGCAAAAACAAAACAACTACAAGAAAAGTCTTGTTTTCTCCGGCTAAATTGTTCCAGTACCAATTGCTGAAAAGGATATACTTTATACTGCATTGTCTTTGAATCTTTGTCAAAAACCCATGTATATACACGTGGGTTTATTTTTTGGGAATGCCTATGCTCCATTGACCCACTTGTCTATCTTCACATATTACCATGCTGATTTTTGAAATCTGGTCACATGAACCCTGCGACTCCTCTCTCCCACCTCCACCCACATATATAGCTTCTTCTAGATCTTCTGTCTTTTCATATGAATTTTAGAATCAGCTTGAAAGCTTCTAAAAAAAGTCTGTTGGGAATTAAGATCGGGATCGTGTTGAAAGTATAGAGCAACCTGGGAGAAGTGGCATCTTAATATTGACTCATCTGACCCATGAGCAAGTTTTGTCAATCCATTTAGTTGTTAGAGACAGCTTCTACAAGTTGGTGCCAACTAGTAGCAAACTTTTGTAAAACAGCATAAAATGTTGCCTGATTTTGTGCCATCTTCATGACCTTAGATATCACTGTTGTGGCTACATCTAGCTACATCATTGAGGATCACCCTCATTTTTACTGACCAATCACATTACCCATCATGCTACCACCTGCTAGCAATGTGGCTTCCTGATGATGTGTCCAAAGTAAATGAGGCAAATTCTCAACATCCTCATTTCTAAGGAGCATTCTGGTTTTATTTCTTTTAAGACTAATTAATTTGTTCTCCTGGCAGTCCTTGGTAAAGATCAGTACATCGTCTGGTTATATATACATATCTCCTCAATGCTAATGCAGTACAGAACTGGAGCAGTATGCTGCCTGAGAAATGGAGCCAGATCCCAGACTTTGCTTTTCAGTTTTGTAGAAATTTTAAAGAACCTATAACAGCCTTGTCAGAGCTGCTGTTCAACTTCATGCATAATTCTGCTCAGTAAAGTTGTATTTTAAATACAGATGCAAAGGAGCTTCTATAAGCTGCCAGTCACTTATTGTTATATTCTTTGAGCATTCACTTATTTCATGATTTTGTTAATTTCCTTTTATCCACTGCCTTCCAGTTGATTCCAACACTTAGTGACTCTATAGTTAAGAGTAGAACTGCCCCATAGTGTTTCCAAGACTTTACAGAAACCAACTGCCACGTCTCTCCTGTCAAGGAGTGGTGGGTTCAAACGATCGACCTTCTGGTTAGCAGTTAAGTACTTTAACCAGTGTCACCAAGGTCCTTTAACTTCCTTATAACAAATGCTAATTTTCTATCCTATGTAACCTGATCCATAACAGAAAATGGTATAAGCTATTGGTCTGACTTGCATATCCAGACTAAATTCCATGTTTGGTATGGATTTCTTACCTATGTATTGTATTAAGATGCCAGTTGGGGCCTCCCTTTGGAGATCTGGCTCTCATCTCCCATCACTTAATAGATTACAGTCACTTTCCTACCCTTTGAAATCTAGATCAGGAGCTCACACTATATACATACAGGAAACAGGTGATAAATCACAGAATCAGAATCAATGCACTCAGGTATTACTATATTTACTTTATGTGTGTGTGTGTGTGGGGGGTGGAGTAGTGGAAGAGATGTTTATTTTTATCTTACCTTCCCCTCAGACTGGGTTCATCCTTGTTAGTTTGTTTCCTGGTCCATAGGCTTAAGCTATACCAACACAAAATGTTGGCTCCTGACTTCATTTCTTTTAAATCTTCAATTTACAGCTTACATTGACATGTTCATGGGTTTGCTCGAGCTCTACCAGCCTATTCCAAAATGTCCCTCTGGTTTTCGTTAATAGTCCTATTACCTTCTCACATAAAAACATTTTTTTTCTTTTTTTGAACACTAATGATTTTTTAATTTGAGTGAAGGGGCACACAACATTCAACAAGGAGATGGGTGGGGGTGGGGGGCAGAAGATGGAAATAGAGCAAGACAATGGGATGTCTGATGGGTTGTTGAACACAAAACCGATGACCTGTGCTCTGTAAACGTCCACTTAGTTCTTGATGAAGTTAAAAAATTAAAGTTAGTGATTTTATCTGCTAGCAATATAGCAATGTTTCCTCGTTTTAATGTGCTACAAAGCTCAAACTGCAACAGTGGGCTCAAGCAAACAGCAACTGAGGATGGTGCAGGGCTGAGCAGTGTTTCATTCCGCTGGGCATATAGGGTCACTAAGGGTTGGAACCAACGCAATGGTGCGTAACAAAAGAACTCAAAACAAGTCACACTCAATATCTATTATCCAGAATTAATCTCATATGTGTTTCTAGCTTTCTATATTTTCCAGGATAAAATATGTCCAAGTTAATTTTAGCCTGGAACATCTAAGCTAGAATGGTCTCCTAAAGTGTGTAGTAACTTTATAATACCTAACGTTACTGGTTGATTCTAATACCTTAAAAAAAGTTCTACAGTTAGTTCTAATAACATGGTCCAGCTTGATGCTCATCTTCATGGAAATCACTGAAGATAAGGGTGCTACAGCCCAGTGTGGTGAAGAAAGCATGTAGTGCCTGATCAATTGGAATAGTGTCTGGGGTCTTCAAGGCTCCTATTCAAACAAGCAGCCAGCAACCTTACAAATCCGGCTAGACCAGAGTATGTACCCTGGTACAGACAGATAAGAGCTGGTAACACAGGGAACCCAGGACAGACAAACCCCTCAAGACCAATAATGAGAGTAGCGATACCAGGAGGGTTAGGGAGGTGGTGGGGATAAATGGAGAACTGATCACAAGGATCTACATATAACCTTCCCTGGGGGACAGACAACAGAGAAAAGTAGGTGAAGGGAGACGTCGGACAGCGTAAGACATGGCCATAATAATTTACAAATTATCATGAGGGTTCATGAGGGAAGGAGCGGGGAGGGAGGGGTAAAAATGAGGAGCTGAAACCAAGGGCTCAAGCAGAAAGCAAATATTTTGAGAATGATGATGGCAACAAACGTACAAATGTACTTGACACAATGGATGTATGTATGAATTGTGATAAGAGTTGTACGAGCCCCCATTAAAATGATTTTTTTTAAAGAAGGAAAAAACTGCTGTAACACCGATGGCCCAATTTATAATCCACAAAATACACTACATGTGATTTTACCTGGAGAATAAAAGCCTCCAGTTCTACAGCCTGAACTCTGTCTTGCAGTGTTTTTAAGTAGTATCTCAATGATCTTCACAGGTTTGTAGGAGAAGTGATGGGGAAGAAAAAAAACACTCTTATATTTAGGTAAGGGGTTAGGAACACGGGGGCGCTCTTCACACTTGGCTAAAGCCTGCAGTGAAATCATAAACAATAAAGCAAGGCATTCACCTAAGTGCAAACGGTACAGAGGGGCAGAAAGTGTGCCCTGATCAACCTATTCAATGGTGGAGCAGAGGCTAGCTTAGCGACCCACAAAGGCAGGCGTTTGGCCCCATCTGACCTACGTCCCCAGTCAGCGCCGACAGAATGTGCTTGCCCCAACCGCCCGCTTCTCGCTCGGATCGCTTACGGGTCGTTCGCATCCACTGGAGCAGCGCTGGGCGGGCGGTCGGCGCCAGCGCACCCAGCAGCTGCAGCACTGCTAGCCGAGCGGAACGGAAATCCATGTCGGAGAACGGCGTCGCATGGAAGTAGACCCGCTTTGCGCATGCGCAGGGGGGCGACCGCCGCACAAATCCTCGGAAGTCACGCCTCCCGAGGGCCCCGCCCCCTATTTGGAGGCCTCACGTGCTTCCTGGCGTGCTTAACCTCCGTCCCACCTCCACGTAGCGTCCTTCTACTCAGCCCGATTGAGGCACATTTTCTTAAGGTGGCTCTCCGAGGCCGTACTTCTTTCCTGGGGTGGTTTCACTAAAGAGGCCTTAGAAGACCTCCCCTTTGCCACTAACTTTGCGTTCAGAGTTCTGAGTGGTACGGCTCGAAGCAGGCCGAAGCCAAGGAGCGCTTCACAGCCAACTCCGAGGAGCACTTCCAGCAGAAAGAATGCCGCAGTATGCCCCGGAAGCGGAAGTGAAACCTCGCCCCGAAAGGCTGGACTACACCGAGTGGTGACGTTTCCTCATTGGACGGAAGGTTCGGTGGCAGTCATCGGTCTTCCAGCTGGTGGGAGTTGGTGTCGTGGCGCTGGGCTTTGGCACTTTGGTTTATAGAGTTTGGGAAGTCGGCTTGTGGGGTCGCACCTGTCTGTCTGCGCCTCCACTTTCTTGGGTTTCCTCCTTCGGCGTGGGGCCTCGCGAAGGAATCCCGGGCCCTTTGGGCCACGGCGTTCGCGGTGCCCTTTGCGTAAGTACTTGCATTTTCCCGCCCCTGGCTACAGAGGGGCTCAGGTTGGGAAAACTGGGGACAGTCCCAATCCAGCTTGGTGGGGGCAAGAAACTCCACACAGTCGGCTTCCCTGGCCAGTGACTGTCGTCGCTGAGATGGAGGTTCTCTGGCCCTCTGTCTCGCGTTTCTTGTAAGAACTTTATTGAAGCGTGCGCAGTGCCTCTTACAAGTTCTCTTTAGCTGTACTAGATCCAAGTAAGATGTGGCAGTTGTAAGCCTGGCTTTTTTGTTTTGCTTTCCTGATTAAGAAGTTAGATGAGGCCACTTCCCCGAAAACCTTTTGACGTGTACAGGTTGTATTTTCTTTGCAGTAACAGTGCTTAGTACATTGTCTTGCATGTAATTGGCGTTCACTTAGTGAGTGAGGACTACTTCTAACAGTTCTACTAATTAGTAAGTTCGGTACTAAGAATGGTTTAAGATGGATCATATTGATGGCTCCACGGTAGCATTTCACACCGCTGACCATTTCTGTTAACTCTTTGCCGCCTTCTCTGTCTTGATGCTACTCTCACCTGGTTCTTGCATAAACTTAATCCAACAAGACAGTAGTTATAACATCTTGGCTGACTATAAGGATACAAACCCGAATGACCCAGACCATGGGAGAAAAGCAAACGGTAGTGAGAGGGAGAAACATAAATATCCATTATATCAATATGAATAATGAGAAACTCTATTGAGGTGTACAGAGGTAATCAGAGCTACAGAGAGCTGTGTGTGTGTCTGTGTGTGTAGGGCCATAAATGAGAGTTGGTATGCTCCTGAGGGGATTTGTGACCCTAAACAGGTTGCTGTTCCAATCTAGACTCGGTTTCCCCATCAACTTTATTATGAGGATGAAAGCAGATTAGGTAAATGGGTTGGTACATTGACTCCAAAAAACAATCACCACCAAGTTCACTGGCATGGAGTCTTTTTGGACTCGTAGTGACTCTCTAGGACAGGATAGAATTGCCTCTGTGGATTTCCAAAGCTGTAAATCTTTATGGCAGCAGAAAACCTAATCCTCCTTGGGAGCCCTAGTGATTTTGAACTGCTGACCTTGATGTTAGTAGCCCAATGCTTAATCCACTACACCACCTGGGGCCCTTTAACACCGTCCCTAACAGGGATAATGCCAAAAGGAAATATTTCCTCAACCCCCGTTCCCTCTTTTGATAGGGGCCAGTAATGTAAAATGCTATACAATAGCATCTTCAAGCTCTCCTTCCAAACATCTATCTAAGCCCACTTTGGTGAGCGGTTCCATCTACCTAGAAATTCTGGAGCTATCATGTTTGATAGTTTTTTATTTTAAAATGATAATTTGTGTGTGTGTGTGTGTGTGTGTCTTTAGGAAAAGGACAGGATTAGTGTTTGTGTACTTGTTCTTAGTCTTTATTATAGATGCTGTCTTTTCAGTTGGCCCTCAGCCAATTCAAAGTCTCATTTATATCCATGGCATCATCCTTATAGTCTACCTATTTCCAAAGATTGGTTGTTCAAGTCCACTCTGAGGCAGATCAGAAAATCTAAAACAAAAGAGCAAGCCTGTTTCCATCCAGTCAATTTCAACCCCTAGCGACCCTGTACAGGGTCTCTGAGGCTGTAAAGTCCTGAGGAGCAGCTGGTGAATTTGAACCACTGACCAGAAGTTAACAGTCCAATGATTATGGTACCTGATGTACTGCCATGGCTCCTTATTAAAGATCTGGAGGGGGGAAAATCAGCAATTCTGTGGGGTATAGTTCTACTCTGAGACACATCAGTCACCATAAGTTGAAATTGACTTTTGAGCAGCTGCCTTTTGGATTTTTTGCAATTCCTTGTGGAGTTATTTAATTCTGTGTTCTTAACCGTGCGGAATAGGCAGTGACGTTTTTCAAAATTTAGATGCCTTGTTTTGGCTCTCTTGATCATGATTTTAAGTTGCTGTAAGTGGGAGTGGAATTGACGACACTGGGTTTTGTTCTGTTTTGTTTTTTTTTCCGCCCTAATCCCATTGCTATAGAGTCCATTCCAACTCATAGCAACCGTAGAGGACAGAGAGAACTCCATATAATTTCCAAGGCTGTGAAACTTATGGAAGCGGACTGCCACAACTTTCTCCCATGGAGGGGTTGCTGGGTTTGAACTGCTGACCTTTCAGGTAGCAACCAAACCTTTAATCACTGTGCCACCAGGGCTCAAAAAATCTGATGTGTACAATCCCTGAAATAGCTGAATGAGTATATAATTTTTAAATAGGTATTATCAACGTAGTGGAAATAACCCATTACTTTAGCATATACCTCCCATTCCTTTCTTCTTTTTTTAACTCCAAGTTTGTTTTCTTCAGCAGCAAAGGAAAGTATTCCTAAGGCATTTGTTTGATTTTGTTTTAATTTTCCTCCTGGTAAGATTCACCTGAAGGAACGTCTTACTGATCTGACAAACCAAAAATGTTTTAAATGATTTACAAACTTAATTTATTATGATTTTCTGCTAATTGAGTATTTGATATATCTTTCTACTATTCAACTGTGAAGTGTTAACTGTTTTATTTTTAATAGGACTTTTAAAAATAAATAATCATTTTAATAAAGGGGGAATTTACTTTGATACAAAATTAAGGGAGAAGAGTCAGTGGTGTGATGCATTCTTTGTCTTAACTTAGTCAGGAAGTCTTACCTTGGGTGTGATGCAGTTTATTGATTTTCAGTTGTAACTTTTCTCATGCTGAGACCATTCCTAGAACAGCAGTGTTTAATGAATGAATAACTAAATACGAGTGACAACTCCATCTGAATTTGAATTCTTAGTTTTTTAACAAATAGCACTCAAGTAATGGCTTTTAATGTATTCACAGAGTTATGCAGCCGTCACTATAATCAATTTTAGAATAAATAGATGGAATTGTACAGGTCTTTTTGACTAGCTTCTTCCATTTAGTATAGTTGTTTTCATGATGTATTCAAGTTAACATGTCAGTATCTCATTTCCTTCTGTTGCTAAATACTATCCCATTGTGTGGATATGAGAACCATAGTGGCATGATGGGTTGTACTTTGGGCTGCTAACTGGAACATCAGCAGTTCAAACTCACCAGCCACTCTGGGAGAAAGATGAGACTTTCTACTTCCATAAAGATTAACAGCCTTGGAAACTCAGAGGCAATTCTGCCCTGTCCTACAGGGTCGTAATGGGTCAGAATCAACTCAGTAGCATTGAGTTTTATTTGGTTTTGATGTATGGATAGACCACATTTTATTTATCCATTCATCATTCAAACAGATTGTTCTCACTTTTTGGCTATTATGAATAATGCTGCTATGAGCATTTATGTTAAAGTTTTCGTGTGGACTCATGTTTTCATTTCTTTTGGGTATATACCAAGGAGTGAAATTGTTGGGTTACATGGTAACCCTATGGTTAACATTTTGAAGAACAGCCAAACTTTACTAAAGTGACTGCCTGTTTTACATTTCCTACCAGCCATCTCTGAAGGTTCCAATTCTCCACATCCTCAAAAAATTTTTATTATTGTCTTTCTTTTTCATTATAGCTATCCTCGTGGGTGTGAAGTGGTAGCTAACTTGGTTTTCATTTGCATTTCTCTGATGGCTAATATTATTTTTAATAATTATTTTTAGATTGTGTTTAATAAAATATGGGTTATACAATTATGAATTTTATATTCTACCTTTCTATGAAAGCATATATATTTTTTTAGCACTAGCAAACTCCTATCTCTCCCACAAAAAAATCTCTCATTTCTGCTCCCCTTCCACTCCCCTAAAGACATTGTTGTTAGTTCCCATAAAATCCGGACCAAGTCTTAATGATCCTATGTACAACAGAGTGCAGCACTGTCCAGTCCTATACTATCCTCATAATTATTATGTTTGAGCTCATTGTTGTAGCCACTGTGTCAATCTAATGTCAAAAACTTTGTGAAAAATTCCATTATCTTTTAATTCCCTTTTTTCCCCTACAAACTTTCTGAAGTCCCCTCATATTGGAGAAGGTAGAAGAGGACAGGATTAAATCCCAAAACTCACTGCTGTCAGGTAGATTCTCATAACAACTCTGTATAGGACAGAGTAGATGTCCTTTGGATTTCCTAGATTATAAATTATTTATGGGACTAGACAGCCTCATTTTTCTGCTGAAGAGTGGCTGATGGATTTGAACCATCAACTGTGGTTAGCAGATGAATGCTTGGCGCCCACCACACTACCAGGGCTCCCTAGGGGCATGTTTAAACTCACTGCTTTCAGTCATTGCTGACTAATAGTGACCCCCTGTGGGTTTCTGAGACTAACTTGTTTAGGGGATCTCACCTGGAGCTGCTGGTGGTTTTGAACTACTGACCACATGGATCACAGCGCAACGCTTAACCACTATATCACTAGGGCTCCATGGGTGCAGGATTAGGGAAATTGTAGTTTCTATTTGAAGTATTTTTGTAATGTTTGACTTTTATAATAGCCACATCTTCAGAGAATAAGCGGATTGAGAATTTTTTAGATTCCTAAATTTAAAAGTCATAATTAACATTATAAAGTTAGTATTCAAATATAGTAATTAAGTAAGTTTCCTGTGGTCCTTGTCTTAGGAATGCATATGTTGTGCAGATTTTGTGAAGATTCATATTTAGTATTATAACAAAGATTGTGGCCTATTAACTAGTTTATTGAAAAGAATAAAAGTGATTTTTCTAAGGATATGCGTTAAAATTATATATATTCAGTAGTTGAGCCTAATAAGTTTGTCGTTGACCAAGGTTTAGAAGAACTTTTTCTGAAAGAGGATTTGTTGTAATAGGATTTGAAATCTCTCATCAGAGTTTTTATATACTCAGATCTGGCAGGGTTTTTGTGAGAGTGTTTTATAACTGCTTATATAGAGAATGATACATTGCCACTTCTGTTGTATAATAATCAGGTTCTTGTGATTGGTGCTAATTATAAAGATTCTAGAGGTGGTTCCTGAGTAATGGGACAGACAAGTACTTTAGTAAGATTGGTGAGAAAATGCTAGCCTATAATTTTCCAGATAATGTTATAGGGAGAGCTATGTAGTATCATTCAAGAAAGGAGGAATATAGTAGGTAGACACTTGCAGAAAGTTTTACACATATTGTCTCATTTAATCCTCACAAAGGCCTTTCAGGGTAATTACCTTGATAATGGTGTTATCTCCATTTTGCAGGTGAGGAAAGTGAGGCTCAGAGAGATTAAGTAACTTACTCAGAGTAACACAGCCAGTATGTAACAGAGCTGGGATTTGAATCCAAGTCTCTCAGACTCTCATGCTCTTTCCAGTACGTCACACTGCAGCAGGTAAGTATGATACTTGAGCCTGTGCTTGCCTTACTTAAGCCATTTCAAACTGTGAGCTGTTCCCATCACCGCATTTAACTACTCCTACTCAGATCCTGTTCGAAGGACCTGTGACTAGGGTCAGTATATGTTCTTGTACATCCGACTTGCAGTGACACTTAACAGTTCTTTCCTGACATTGCAATGACTTCCAGGAGGAAGTATGCGCATCTTTTCCTTGCACATAGGATATCATCCATAGGCTCGAACCAAAAGTTAGTCTCTGGAATTTGCTGATAGGGGCGGTATTCAGTGCTATTATCTAAAGCATTCATATGCTAGGATTTAAGACTGTGTGGTGGTGTGGTATGGGACTCTGGGAAGCTATTTGCTGTTTTGTATGGAATAGCTACTGTTTCATTCCCTAACCCGACTAACTCATTTAGTTTTTGTGAGGGTCGAATGAGATAATAAATACTAAACTGCACAAAAGCTGTGCTGCTGGCATAGTAGGTAAGCAGTTGGCTGCTAACTGAAAGGTTGGTAGTTCAAACCACTCTCCACACTGACTGCAGGAGAAAATTATGGCAGTTGGTGTCTGTAAAGATTTACAGCCTTGGAACTCCTGTGAGGCCATTCTACCCTGTCTTAAAGGCTAGCTATGCTTTGGAATCAAGTCAGTGACAATAGGTCTATGGGTAAACTATATAAAAAATTTCAATATTCTTTGCATTCCTAACAGTTAAATTTAACAAGGGATTCCTCTTTTGTTAAAAAAAATTTTTTTTTCATGTTGTGGTATATTTAGGATTAGGTGTGACACAGTATTGCTGAGTGAGTAAACCCCTAACCCCAGATACAAACCAAGTGGAATTGCAAGTTCCAGGGCTTCCCCCACGCTGCCCATCTGACCTGCTGCACTAGCCCTGCTCCCTCTAACTCTCAAGACCACCCAGATCTTCCTACCTACTCCCTGTCTCCTATGGGCCCCCATTCAGACCTTCCAATCCACCTGCCTAGCAGCCCACTCCTCCAGGATGGCTGAGAACCCAGGAGCCAGACATCCTTGGGGTAACCCCACCCGACCCTTACTCTAGAGGCCTCTCTACCGTATCTAGTCTTCTCCACCTTTAGGGAGTTGAGAAAAGTAGAAAAACCTCTTTTGTATTTGCTACCACCACGGTCCCCCACCCCCTTTTTAAGTAGAATGATTAGAAATGTAAAAGCCAAAGTGACTAGAGCTGGTGAATTTAAGGGCACCTCCATGCACAGACATCCTAAAGCAGTCCTGTGCGCTGCTGTGTGTGAAAGGGACCCTGCACCCTCATGCCCCGGGTCTCCATCCACGTCTCTGAGGTCCCTATGCTTCCGATCTGGGTCATGGCCCCCCCCACCTTCTGAAAGCCACACTCTCTTCACCACTTGACCCCATGCCACTGGGAATGGGGCCCTGGGTCACACCCCTCCCCACAATCACATTCCCGTGCCCAGGTCTTCTCTCGGCTCTTCGCCCTCTTTGCCCAACCTCTCACCCTCCCAGTCAGTTGCCTTCTCTTCTCCGCTGGGCTCCCGGAGGCTAACTGCCAGCACTAGGGCCTGCAAGAGGACAAAGAGGCAGCCAAAGTGCAGGGGGTGGGCAGTCAGGAGGCTCAGCACAGCGTGCAGCCCATGGAAGGACAGCAGCTCATGCAGCCAGAGACCCAGTGGCCCTTGCAGGCCCAATGCGTCCAAGGCTACCCGAAGGGGCCTCGAGCACAGCCCCAGCAGGGCCGAGGCCAGCAACTCCAGCAAGTGCAAGGTCAGGTTGGTGGAGATCTACAGTCGCTCCTCTGGGGTCCCCAGGTAGGGGGGGTGGGGCCCACACCACCACCTGATCCCCCACGAAGCCAGCCCAACAACTTTTGACAGCAGCTTGGCTTTTCCACTGGAACTTCAGGCTCAGAAGGGCTCAGTTCCCCTTCTGGAGGCAACCCGGGTCTCTGGGCTCCGCCTAAGTAGAGAGAGTCCTGTCCCAGTTTGGCCACAGCCGCTCCAGCCTCCAGTCTCCTAGGTTCTTCAGTGCCAGGGGCAGCCTTGTCCAGCTTGAGGGGGCCCGTTCTTCTGCTCTGCAGTTGAGCAAGTGGAGGACCCCTGCTTGGTTCAGGGGTAGTCTTAGAGCTCTTCTGTGCCCCCGTGTCCTTGGCCTTGGGCGGTCCCACATCGCCCATGGTTTCAGGGCCACTGTCCCAGTCACTTCCAGAATTCTCTGTGGAGCTGTCCATCCTTCTGGGTTCTGGGGTTGGATGGGTCAGGCTTTGCTGCTTTTAGGCGGCCTAAGGGCCGAGGTAGCCAGCCACCAAGTCGTCACAGGAACATGGCTGGGGTGCTCAGTGGGCCCCCAAATCCAGAGCTCCTTTACTGCACGAATCAGACCCTGTAAGTGGATGCAGGGAACAGTGCCGTCAGGTACTGAATTCAAAGGTGGCTCTCCGTTTTCCCCCGGGGTGGGGATGTCATGCAGTCTCAAGGGTGGCAGGGGGCGGCCAGGCTCCTTTTCAGTTGGGCAGTAAAGGCAGGCACACCCAAGTTCATTCTCCCCTTCCACACATACACCCAGTGTCTCAGGGCCTGACCAGGCTTGGGTCACCCCACAGTGTCCCCCTGTGCCTCTGGGTTTCCTTCTCAGTGGGCTGTACCCTATGGTGCACTCACCAAGGCCACGCCTCAAGGTCCCTCAGCACTGGGTAGGCGGTGCTCCATTCAAGAAAGATGAAAGGTGTCCCGAGTGCTCCTAGGTCTGAGGAGTCTTAAACTGCTGCCCTAGGGGACCTCACGGAGTTGGAAATGCCCTGGTTGGGGGAGGGGGTGTCCAGCAAACTCCAAGCAGTGGCGTTGGTCTCTTGAGTTAAAGGACGATGGAGCTGACAAGGTGGCCCTCAGCAGCCCCGGAGCACAGCTGAGCAGCAGCATCTCCAAGGTCAGGCCCAGGATGGGGCCGCAACCTTGGGAATGGCCGGGAGCCGCAGTTAAATTTTTACATACACGGATTTCAGTAGATCTTTTTATTTATTTATTTATTTTTATTTAAATCATTTTATTGGGGGTTCGTACAACTCTTATCACAATCCATCCATCCATCCATTGTGTCAAGCACATTTGTACATTTG